GATTGAACTTGGAATTAGTACGAATTGTATGGTCGACGACGAGTCGTTCAACGTTTCCATTGAAATTTATCTGGATAGATATGTAGTAGTATTCTAGATATACATATACATATGTGTATGTATATATATATATATATGTTCGTTTCCATATTTCATGATTTCGAAGAAGAGAAACAGATATTGTTAGATATCGAATACGTCCGATCATATATGTGAATTAATTTTTAGAAAATAATTTCAACTGACGACCATTTTATATGATCATTTTGAATGATCTACGGATGATAAAAAGAAACAAAGAAAAAGAAAAGGGAAAAGAAATATACGATCATTTTAAATAGTTTACGAATGATTAAAGAAAAAAAAAAAAAAAAAAAAAAAAAAAAAAACAAGCAAACAAAAAGTGAAAGCATTTCGAACACAACCGATCAATTTTGTCGTTGAAAGAGAATTATATAAAAGATTAAATTTGTCGTATGTACGAATGTTTGATGTGTCTGATAAAAATTTTTTCACGTTTCAAAAAGGAACGTCCAGTTAGGAAAAAGCAACGATCCACGATAGTCCCGCGGGTATAATTCAAATGTTAAGGAGACAGTATTAGGATGTATTATATCTCGGTGAAGATACGTGCACGGTCACGTAGATTCGAGCTTTAACTTTTGCCGTAAGCTCGAGTTACCTCGGTTGATAGTAATATTACATGAGATGTTAGAAATCGCCCTCTCTCTCTCCTTTCCTCTCTCTCTCTCTCTCTCTCTCTCTTTCTCTCTCTTTGTTGAATTTTTCATAATATCCACAAGCCGAACATACATACATATTTCAAACTAACAATTCAAGAAGTTTCACCTATTTCGGTTTTCCTCTTAAATTATATTCCAGGATTGTCCCATATCTTTCTTTTCGAATTACGTTCCGTCTGAACGTCATCGTCTCGACCACATTTTTCTCTCTCACAATTTTCATAAACAATTATGTAGATATTAATCCGTTGTCCTTTTAAAAATCTTATGATCTATTAACGAACGCTTTCTTCAGCTTTCTTCTTTTAATTCAGCTTTCCTCTTATTTCTTTTTTTCTGAGCAAAGAGAATATAATATTTATTGTCTAAAAAAAAAAAAAAATAGTATAAAGTTTTATTGTAGATTTTCGTTTAACCTTTTAAGAAAATCTGATAATATAATATTTTCGAACGAACTAATCAGGATGATTTAAATGGAATAGGGCAAATGAAACTTATACAAATTACTATTAATTAAATGAGATAGTAGATATTGTACATAGTAATAATAACGTGTCGAACAAGAGAGAAAGAAAATAGTATTGTATTATCGATGCAATTGAGAGTAGGATATCGCGTCGCTGGGAATGAGGACGATCATTGACTCGAATAAGAAATTAAAAACAATCTGAGAAGAGAGAACGTGAAAGAGAGAGAAAGAAGGAGAGAGAGAGAGAGAGAGAGAGAGAGAGAGAGAGAGAGAGAAATAGATAGAGAGAAATACAGGTCGTTTCATATGATACATAAAAGTATTCCAGTCAATTTTTATCTTTCAATAATATTTTCAATTAAATAACAATCTTATTTTATTTAATAAACATCCAATTTGATAAATCTAACTTTATTTCATAATAATCTTATCTTTCTTAATTTTTACATTATAAATAACAATATTACAAATATTTTATATTTAATTGTTTCATTACAATGAGAATTCATTGATGATAATCTTAATAAATTCTATTATTCTTTCTTTTTTTTTTCTTTTCCTTTTTTTTTTTTTTTTTTTTTTCAAGTATTAATTCCTTAACAATAAGATCTGTGTTTATTTGTAATCGATTTAATTTTTAAACTAATACGATCGAACTATAGCCGTTCGTATATTCATTATTGTAAATTGTAGAAAATTTTTAAATAATACATTTGTAATCATGATAACTTTTTATATCTCAATATACATTGTGAAACGTCCTGTATGAATGGATAAAGGAAGACAAAAAGTTGCATACGAAGTCACCGAGTGGATGGACTCCAGAACTGATTGAAGTTGTAACGTTAAGGCGAAAGGAGTCGCCAGCCAGGAAAACGTAGGATATGTCTGTCGTGGCAAAGGAAAATGCTCACGAATAAAAGTTATGTAAAGAGGTAGGAAAAAGAGGAAAACGGGAGGATGAAAAAGAGAGAGAGAGAGAGAGAGAGAGAGAGAGAGAGAGAAAGAGGGAGGGAGGGTGGGAGAGAGGAAGAGAGATCGAACGTGTACTGGGAAGAAAACAAGAAACGCGACTCGCATGAATTGCTTGCTCACTCTCATGCGCTTTTATGCATGAGAATTCTGATCGTCATACGGCCAAAGAGAGATTTATGCCAGCCGCGAACTAAAAAACATCGAAGATTCGTTCGACATCTTCCTAAAGATATTGGATTTTTATCTATCGAAGAGAAGTCTGCATATTTCTGTACATGTCTATACATATACAATATATTATGCATATATATATACATATAAATATATGCATATATTTATAATAATATGTATATATTTTTTTATATATGTAATATATAATAACAATAATATATAACATATGTTTGCTACTTTGATCTTATTTATTAATGAAATTTCTAACCATCAATCATTATCATTTTATGATAGACAATTATTAATTAATTAATACATATATATATATATATATATATATATATATATACACATATGTAATATAATGTAATGCTCTTTCGTAAGAATAATTAAGAGACTTAAAATTTCGATGTCACGATCAAAGTACCGTCTTAAATGGTATTACGTTTTGAGGGTATGTTGTGTATCGGAGGATGTTTAAGGAACGATAGTTCGCTTGCCTACGTTTCAACCTAACTATGCTTACATATATACTATGTCTATGTCTCTTTCTCTCTCTCTACCTCTCTCTATTTCTCTGTATATGTGCGCTTGTGTATGTGTATATGTGTATTAGTGAACACGAATCGGAAGGAGCAGTAGGAAGGGACGTAGAGCAATCTCACGGTTGATCGCTCAAGTTTTCAAAGTCCATCCGAGAAACCCTAAGGCAGGTTAACGTTTGTAAGACTCGATAGAGATCTCGATTTAATGTTGTTGTCCGTGATCTAACGATATATCTAATCTAACATCTTATCCACGATCATTTTGATCATGGAATTTTTGATCCATTTAAAAAGGAAATTATTCTTATGAAATAGACGAGAAAAGAAATGTTTTAATCTTTAATTTAAGAGAAAAGAAGAAGAAGAAGAAAATAAAGAGATAGATAGAAAGAGAGAGAGAGAGAGAGAGAGAGAGAGAGAGAGAAAGAGAGTGAGAGAGGAAGAAAAAGATGAAGAATGAGAGATCTAACTGAAAGAAAGAAAAGGAGGAAAGAGAATGCACAGGTAGACAGATAGACAGACAGACGGACAGACAGACGGACAGGCAAATATACGAACAGGCAAACATAGAGAGAGAAAATATTTGCATAGATGGAAATAAGATGGAACATAAGGTAAACGAAAGGGCCATTGTTTTAGAAGTTTAATCTTTATCCTCTTTTATAAATCTCTCTTTACGCACTCACATATAAACATACACACACACACACACACAGATACATACGCACGGGCGCACACACATACACACGTATAATTTTTAATAATTTAACAATAATACAATTTTAAAATACATCACCGACTATATGTTATAATCCTACTTTATATATCCCACGTGTAGATGTACAATGTACGTATATACAATACATACATATTATTTTTCTCTCATAAAAATAAGCGAACTCATCTTCTTTCGCTTGTCGT